AGGCCACTGAGCGGCTCCGAGCTGTGCACAGGGCGGCGGGCACAGGGCGCCCACAGCAGCTCCTCCCGTGCCAGGTCCCAGGCCTGTGTCGGCTCTTTTGTTAATGTCTTTTAACAGCCGCTCAGAGTAAAATTCACTCTAGGGACACAGTCCAGTTTTGGGGTACTTTATGCCGTTGGGTCCTGCTCCTGCCTCCGGCCACACGCAGAGGGGTCTCCATAGATTTCCCTCTCAGGTGTCCTTTTACATTCCCGTCGGGGTGAGCGTGGACAGCGGTGCCTTCGGGGACAGTGGCCCCTGGCTGGGATGCCCGGGTGGCTCCGGGTGTGCCGCTTGCTCTGTGCCCAAGCCTGGGCTGGTCTCCCGCCCTGTGTATCAGCCAGGCCTGGGCGCTCATGGAATTGGGTGCCTTCGTCGCTCACAGGCCTCCACCTCGTGCAGCTGCCCCAGGTTCTGACTGTGACACGCCGGCTTGAGACCCTCTGTGTGCACTTCACTCGTCTGCCAGGCGACTGCAGAGATGCTTTTTCACGCGCCCAGAGGGGCTCAGCGGGGGAGGGGGACGTGGAGGGGGTGGCGGCCACACCGCAGGGAATGTCTTCATGCCCTGAGCTGTGCCCTGAGCGGGTGCAGGCGGGGACTTCTCTGCTGTGTTACTGGGATGAACACATTTTTAAGAAAGAAGGTGCAGCCCGGCCAGAGTGGCTCAGTGGCTGAGCGTTGACCTCTGAACCCGCAGGAAGTCACGATTCGATTCCCGGTCAGGGCACAGGCCCGGGTTGCAGGCTCCTTCCCCAGTGGGAGGCGAGCAGGATGCAGCCGGTCAGTGGTTCTCTCCTCAATAAAAATACGTTTTTTAAAAGGGAAGAAGCTGCAGTGAAAGGGTTCCCCAAGGAGCGCGTTTGTTTACGGGACCCTGTGCACTGACCTAACGAGTCACTGACCGTCTCCCCCGAACCTCAGGCCACAGGAGGAACAGGTTCAGAATGCGATCGATAAGCTCTACGTGCTGTTCGGAGCAGAAATACTGAAGAAGATTCCAGGCCGCGTGTCCACGGAAGTAGATGCCAGGTAAGGGGGTGGGGCGGGCAGGGCAGGCCTGGCCCCCTGCCGTCTGCTCCCGCTGGGCCCTGGCGTCACGGGAGGGAAGGCGATCGGGAGACGGGGCTCTAAGTGGCTCGGAGCCTGGGCGCCACTGCTGCTCGCTCGTCCTCGGCGCTTCCTGAGGTGAGGCCGCCCCTCACCGCGCCCGGCTCCCACAGGCTCTCCTTCGACAAGGACGCCATGGTGGCCCGAGCCCTGCGCCTCATCGAGCTTTACAAGGACGCCGGGATCAGCAAGGACCGGATTCTCATCAAGCTGTCGTCCACCTGGGAAGGAATTCAGGCTGGAAAGTAAGTGTCCCCACCCCAGGGGGCGGCCGTGGCCCAGCTGACGGAGCCAGGTGTGTGTAGGGCCAGGTCCCCAGGTCCTGCTTGGTGACCCTCAGAAACAGGTGCCCCGTGAGACCCCACAGGCATGTCGCCCGTCCTCCTCAGGCTCACACAGTCCATAGGCAGAGCCTCTTATGCCTGGTGGGGGCGGAGGTGTGAGGCTTGGGGGTGGAGCCTGGTGTCCGCTGCAGCCCCGCCCTGCAGCCCCGCCCGGTGACGGCTCCCTACTCAGCTGCCTGCTCTGGACGCCTCACAGGGTGGGCTCATGACACGTGGCCTCTCCTGTGGCCTGTTTCCAGGGCTCACCCTGTGGCCGTCAGGGCTGCGTCCCTTCAAGTCGAATGTTCTGTTGTGTGTGCGCTGCCTCTTCCGTGTCCGTGTCATCCTGCGTGGACACGTGGCTGTGTGCCCTGTGTCCTCTCTCCTGGGCACACACTCAGTCATCTGGTCGGTCCCTGTACCCGTTGGAGGAATGGCACTGCTGCTCGTTGTGGATGTGGGCTCGTCACCACCCGCCTGTGGCCACACGGTGGAGCCCTTGTAATCTGTCCCCTTTGGTGGGAATTTGTGGCCAGAGGGGCCTGAGCAGAGGTCCAGCTGTCACAGCCCTGGCCCCACCCACATGGCAGAGCGTGGCCATTGCCCTGTCCTCAGGACTCGGCCCCAGAATGTCACGGTGGACGGACGGGCTGCCGCAGGGTAGGCTGGGAAGGGTGAGAGGGCAGGAGGCCGTGGCTCCAGGTGAGACGCGGGCAGCACTGTGGCCTGAGAGGACAGCTGGTGTCAGCCCCAGGCCGTTCTGGCTGAGGGGAGGGCCGGGCCGCGTGCTGGCGCAGGTGCTGGCTGGGGACCTCCCTGGCCTCTGTCCCGGTCTGTAACTGGGTTTGAGGAGGAGATGAACCGGGTCGGCTGAGTCGTGTGCGTCCCCACAGGGAGCTGGAGGAGCGGCACGGCGTCCACTGCAACATGACGCTGCTCTTCTCCTTCGCCCAGGCCGTGGCCTGCGCCGAGGCGGGCGTGACGCTCATCTCCCCCTTCGTGGGGCGCATCCTCGACTGGCATGTGGCCAACACCGACAAGAAGTCCTACGAGCCTCAGGAGGACCCTGGTGAGTGGCCCTTGGAGGCCCCGGGGCAGGTGCGAGGTGGGCAGGGTGGCGGGCGCAGTGGTGACCGCCGGGCATTCCT